TCATTAGCCCAACACTAGTGGGGAATCTGGGCATCCCATCCAGGAGACTGGAGCAACCAATCTCATTTGGCCAGTTAGATGGATCCATAGCGGAGGGGGGTGCCAGCTACCCTAGCCACTCTACCAATACACCTCTCCCTGGGCAAACATGAAGAGGACATAACGTTTGTGGTGACCCCAGGAATAGAATGCCCAATGATTCTAGGGATGGAATGGTTGAAAAAAATGGAACCCCTGGGTAAATTGGAGGATGACAGAAATCAAATTCCTGAAGGGGGAATTTGGACTAGCCCAAAGGAAAAGGAGGAAATGGAAAGATTTATTTTAAAAAAAAACCTAGAGAGAGGTTTCATTGAGCCAGCCAAGCCTAAAGTGGCTGCCTCGGTCTTTTTTAGAGAGAAGAAGGATGGCTCTTTACGTTTATGTGTGGATTATAGGGCCCTGAATACAATCAGTGAAAGCAACCTATACCCTCTGCCCCTCATGAAAGACATGCTGTCACACCTATCGAAAGGGAAATTTTTTTCTAAACTAGACCTAAGGGAAGCTTACTATCGCGTGAGAATTAAGGAAGGGGATGAATGGAAGACTGCATTTAACTGCCCCATGGGGTGCTATCAATTCAAAGTGTTGCCATTTGGATTACAAGGGGGCCCTGCAGTCTTTATGCAATTAATCAATGACGTTCTAAGGGAGCACCTGTTTAAGGGGGTCCTTGTTTACTTGGACGACATTCTTATCTTCACCGAAACGAAAGAGGAAAATGTCCAGGAAACTCAATCCCAAATAAGCCCGCTGGTCCCAGCATTTTCACCAGTTCCAATTTAAGCTCAAACATTTACCAGGGAGAAAGAACTTCCTGGCAGATGCACTAAACCAATGATGGCAGAGTCACAACTGGCAGCACCAGTAACCACAAGAACCAAAGCTGAATTAAAACCACAACTAGACAGCCAAACTGGAATTGAATTCAGAAAAAATTTGGAAACAGACGAATGGTTCCAGAAAAACAAAAATGTGTGCACAATGAAAGACGGGTTGCCTTGGGTAGGGGAAAAATTATATATACCAACAACTCAAAGAGTCACTTTCATGCAGCTTTGCCCTGACACAAAATCAGCAGGGCATTTTGGATTTGTAAAAACTTTACATTTAATTAAACGGCAATTTTGGTGGCCATCCATGAAAAAGGACATAGACAGTTATATTGCCAGCTGCCCAACATGTGCATCTGCAAAGAGGTTGCAAGGGAAATCGCCAGGGCTATTACAACCAGTGGCAAATCCCTCAACCCCCTGGAGGGAAATAGCCATGGATTTTATAGTGGAATTGCCAGAAAGCAATGGGAATACTGTTATCTGGACAGTCATGGACTTGTTTTCCAAACAGGTGCACTTTATCCCTTGCCAAAAGATTCCCATTGCAAAGGCCTTAGCAAAACTTTTCATCCAGCACATTTACAGATTGCACAGGGCACCCCAACGCATCATCTCTGATAGGGGAGTGCAATTTACATCTGCATTTTGGAAGGAATTTTCATCCCTCTTAGGGACCACTCAGGGACTGACATCTAGCCATCACCCTCAGACAGATGGACAAACGGAATGTTGTCATTCAGTACTTGAGCAATATTTGAGATGTTTTTTAAATTTCCAACAGAGTGATTGGACGGACTTACTCCCTTTTGCAGAAGTTGCCTACAATAATGCAGTCCACTCCAGCACAGGCTACACTCCTTTTCAAATAGCCAACGGTCAAAGTTTCAGCCCCATGCCAGAATTAACCCCAAACGAACCAATGATCCCATCACTGAAAGAATGGATGGAAAAAACTACAGAACACCTGGCCAATAGTTAGAAAAGCACTAGATTAAGCTAGGCAGGCATACAAAGCACAAGCCGATAAAAAAAGGATTGAGCCTACACCATTCATTATAGGTGAAATGGTGTACCTATCTACAAAATACCTGAAGTCCCTACAATCCTGTAAAAAACTTGGACCAAAATGTATAGGGCCTTTTCCAATTAAAAGAATCATAAACCCAGTAACAGTAGAATTAGAATTACCCAAAAATCTCAGGCAAATACACCCAATTTTTCATTGCAGCTTGCTGAAAAGAGAGCATCAGTCAGCTTTACGGCCAAAAATCGCCCCCACCTCCAATCATGGTAGAGGGCGAACAACACTTCGAAATAAAGGAAATCCTTGATTCTAGGAGATATCATGGAGCAACTCAGTACCTAGTTGCCTCGAAACACCTCCCTGCCTCACAAAACGAGTGGGTCCATAAACGTCAATGTCAGAGCCCCGAAGCTATTGAAGAAGCCTGACTAACTTTTATACCTGTTTTGTTTCTTTCAGGTGGATCTCTCTTATTTTTGAGGGGGCCGGATGTCAGAATCCAATTATATTTCATCTTTAGTTATCAAATATAGAAAACCCCAATTCTGCCTTCTCTGGATTCTGCCATAAGAAGGAGAGAAGGGGGAGAACAAAGGGGCTTTATGGCCCTCACTTCCTTCAGTATACTTCTAAGGAACTGAATGTGTGTATTGCAAAAGAACTAACCATAAGAATGGGGCCATTTCCTTTCATGTAGTTTCTTTGAAGTCTCCATCCAGCCAGGCAGTAATGAAAAGGGGGTGGAAGTGTAATGCCTGAGACTGTCGCTGAAAGAGGGGGTTGATTGGGTGGGGCTACTGGGGAACCCCTTAAAACCTTGAATTGGAGAGCTTGGACCCCAAGTCCTGTCTAGAATGCCTGCAACCATTTTCTCTTAATAAAGGAGTCCTGTTGGAAGAATTATTCCAAGAGTTCTGTCTTCTTAAGATGCAAAGTGGGGTGGGTCCTTACAGTCTCCTTGTGAGGAGCACTTTTGTAGAGTGTGAGTAGGCGATCCTAAAAATCTCTCCTCCTCTCTGGAGAGATTTTTATCAGCCAAAACGGACTCCTGGCCAGTGATTCCACTGCAGTGCTGTCCCCATTTGTGAAGTTGAATAGAATAGAATAGAATAGAATAGAATAGAATAGAATAGAATAGAATAGAATAGAATAGAATAGTTGAAAGGGACGTTGTAAGTCATCTAGTCCAACCCCCTGCCCAAGCAGGAGTCCCTAAACCATTTCTGTCAGATGGCACTCCACTCTCTTCTTGAAAGCCTTCAGTAATGCAGTACTAACAACATCTGAAGGCAATCTGTTCCATTGGTTGATTGTTCTCACTGTCAGGAAATTTCTCCTTATTTTCAAGTTGAATCTCTCCTTGGTCAGTTTCCATATGTTATTCCTTGTCTTCAGGTACTTTGGAAAATAAGTTGACCCCCTTCTCTCTGTGGCAGCCCCTCAGATATTGGAACACTGCTATCATGTTTCCCCTGGTTCTTCTTTTCACTAGACTAGCCATGCCCAGTTCCTGTAGCCATTCTTCATATGTTTTAGCCTCCAGTCCCCTAATCATCCGTGTTGTTCTTCTCTGCACTCTCTCCAGAGTCTCAACATCTTTTTTATAGTGTGGAGACCAAAATTGATTGCAGTATTCTAGGTGTGGTTTTATTAAGGCTTTATAGAGTGGTATTAGTACCTCACATGATCTTGATTGAATCCCTTTGTTAATGCAATTTAGGATTGCATTTGCTTTTTTGGTTGCCGCCACACACTGTTGGCTCATATTTAATTGATTGTCCACTGAGACTCCAAGATCTCTCTCACAGTTGCCTCTATTAAGCCTGGTTTCACCCATTCTATATGTGTACTTTTGGTTTTTCTTGCCTAGTGTAAGACCTTACTTTTCTCTACGTTGAATTTCATTTTGTTAGAGTTGCTTGAAGGGACATCTCATCTGGTATCAGTTCTCACTAGAGGCTCCAGGTAGTAATATACAATATCCTGAGCCACTCCTTGTATCATGTTTCCTGATATTTCTGGAAGTACCATGGAATAATAGGAAGTAAAAATTCTATAAATTCTGATCCAGGATTTGATCCAGGACGGATAGCTGCTCTGTTCTCTTGCTGTCAAGAAGCAGCAAGGTTTATTTCATTGATGGTCTCTGGGTATTGTAATAACCAATGGAGTGCAGTTTAGTCAGAAGCAACTAATGTTAAATGATTCAAGAAAGCAGAATGGGATCTAAATGGCTTTAATCCAGGTGGAGTTAGGTGTTTCAGGCAATGAAGACTGTAGAGGAAAGGTAAATAAGTCTCATGATCTCCTTGACTATAATACAAGCAGTGATTGCGTTTGCATGGCATTTAGTTTGTGTGCATTTGTAAAAATGCAGTGTCTTTGGAGGTGATCGGGTTCCCACCCTTAAATTTCCACAAGAAGAAGCCAAATGGGATAAAAACCTAATTTTGGACTGTTTTAATATTCTCCCAAATTCTGCCATAAACGAACAAAGATCTATTGTGAGTCACTTAACATGTCATTGTTGTTATTGTTGTTGTTATGGGGGTTTCAAGATAGGAGTGGGAGCCTTACTCTACTTTCTGCCTATTCCAGTCAGTGTTTTTGCCCTGTCCAGTTGATTGGCTTGAAGCATTAAAAATCTACAAGTCTGAAGTATGCCATGCCTTGTTGGGCATAAAGGATCAGGACTGTACCTTTGGTTACAGTTTAAAGGTTTACTGCTTAAGCTTATACAAAAGAATCTAGTGAACTAAAGTTCAGTACTAAATTGATGCTAGATTAGGTCAAAGGAACTCAAGAGGGATTGGACTTGAACCATTGATGGCAATGTAAAGACTCTTAAGATAATGATATACTTAACTCCACCCTCACCAGCTCTGCCTGCTCTTCTCTTACATGTATTTTACTAAACTGGATCTGTAAGGTTGCTGGGAGTACAAAGGATGGGAAGAACAAGAAAAGTTATTGCAGATTCATGCCCAAGTTTCTTATGCCATTATGAGTTTATGTCAACATTATCAGATATGCAGAACCTCAGATTCAAATATTGCTGCTTGAACAAATTGTGTTCTTCTTCTCTTTTACCATTACAGGTTCTTATCTGATGGTCAATTCCTCCCAGCACAATCCAGGGCAGAAAGCACAGATCCTTTTCCAGACATTGAGCGAAAATGATACTCACTGCCTCCAATTCAGCTACTTCATATACAGCCGGGATGGGCACAGCCCTGGGACTTTGAATGTCTTTGTCAAAATGAATGGAGGGCCACTGGGAAGTGTGGTGTGGAATGTCTCTGGCTCCCATGCGCGGCAATGGCATCAGGTGGAGCTCGCTGTCAGCATGTTTTGGCCCAATGAGTACCAGGTGAGAGGAGGGTTGCTGTCAGTAGCAATAAATCAGGAAGCAAGGTGGTTCAAATGACTACATGTTTATTGCATACTAATGCTGCCTACAAGAATCTGAACCACTAATGGTCAAAGCAAATTGGTGGCAGATAAGAGTCAACGGAATTAAAACTAGCTGGACTTAGATTTCTTGTGGACATGAAGAGACTTGAGACTGATGATGTGCTTGACCCCTCCCTCAGGCATAGCCTGGTCATCTTCTACAGTTGCCTTTCTGGAGAAACCTAGTGGGAGATTTGTGATAAATTCTAATGCTTGAGGGAAATCATGAATTCTGAAAAGGGAAGTGTGTGGCTGAATTTATATACAGCATCCTAAACCATATGGATTAGCAAAATACATTTATTGTGTTCATTGAACATGCCAAAATCAAAGTAATTAATATACTATACTATGGTTTAAGGCAATGGGTTGAGATAATTACTGGATTTCCTGTTATCTACTGAACTACAAGCTATGAACACTAGATTAGTCTAGTCTATTTGTTATGTGTCCAAACTGGTGGCAGCACCAAGCTCTCTTTTAAAGATCTGAAAAAGCAAAGCAGGATTTTTTTATTTCTTGCTTGGGAGAATACCAAGAAATCTCAGATTGTAGACTAGAATTCAGAAGACCGTCACAGAAAAATATAATGGTACATCACTTCCAGTTGTTCCAAAAGCTGCATTGATATTCCATGAAATCAACAGAAGTTGAGTTTGACTGGAAGTGCACTTGACTTTAATATTCTATGGAAATCCAGCTCTTCATTTATGAGAAAGATAAACATGCAAGACAAGAGGATTTCACTGAATTGTCAATAGTAATTGTCTAACAATTAATTAATTGTCACTAGCCCATTCTTTTTTATCCTCCTGGGATGGATCCTTGTCACTATATAATCTTACTGATTTGTACTAATTTCTGTTTTATGATCAGGTGAGGTTTATTATCACATGTCCCCAAAAGGAAGTTGATCATTGGCTTCAGATAGTCTTCCCCTCAATCTAAGTAGCTGAAAATCCATGATCCCCTTTATGGCATTCTCTGCGGTTCTTCAATAACCCTGCAAATTGAAAGAGAATTTATTGAGGAGAAAAAAATTAGCCTTGGGCAGCAACAGAATATCAACTGGCTTGACAGGTCCTTTGCTCTCAAAGTTGCCCAAAGTAGTTTAGATTTTCAGGGGTGCCAAAACGTCAGGCATTTATATGGAGCAGTAAATCAAGTCATCCAAATAAGACCCTTATTTTATTTTCTTAGATTTCTTATGTTCTTTGAAGAATAACAAGGGCACAACCAAAATTAAAATATTATGAAAACAGTTAATGAGAATATGTGGTATATTTGTGTCTCCTTTTCCTCCAAAAATTCAAGTTGATATTTGTGTTTTTCCTTCGTTACACAATTTTCTTTAGATAGGTTAGTTAATAGGTTAGATAAAGGTAGTGCCCAACCCAGAGTCACCCAGTGAATTTCAGTCAGAGTTGAAATAAGGTCTCTTCAATTCTACTCTGATATTCCAGCTGTAACACCAAAATGTCTCTCCTATATCCTTAGGTATTGTTTGAAGCAGTCGTTTCCAATGAAAGGCATGGCTACTTGGGATTGGATGACATCCTACTCTTGAATTATCCCTGCTGTAAGTGTAACAGTTCTTTTGGCCAACTTTCCCATTCTCTTGATAGCACTAACTTCTCCCAGAACCCTTATGACTAGCTTTGGTCTAAAAGAATAAAAAACTTGGTCCTGGGGAAGATGACAGATAATGCAGTCAAGAAAATGTTTTTATATCTTAAAATAGAATATACTTAAATAGTTAACATACAATATATAGAGGCAGCAAAAATGAGCAAAATCACTGAAAAACAAAAGGAAATGTTGAATAGACCAATAACTGCAATAGAATTAGAAACAGCATTGAAAAAACAAAAAAATAACAAATCACCAGGCCCAGATGGAATTTTTATAAAAATACACAAGAGTCACTACAATGGATAATGTTGGAGATTTACAATGAGGTGTTGGAAGAGGCGAAGATACTGACAACTTGGACTGAAGCAATCATCACCCTCATTCCTAAGGAAGACTCAGACCTACAACAAATTCAAAATTATAGACCAATTTCTTTACTGAATACAGATTATAAGACATTTACAACAATAGCAGAAAGGATAAAAAAAATTTTGAATAACTACAACCACCCAGATCAAAATGGATTTTTACCAGGATGACAAATAAAAAATAACATGAGGATAATACTGAACACTTTAGAATTTTGCAAAGTCCATCCTGAAAGACAAGCTACACTGGTTTTTCTTGATGCCCAGAAGGCATTTGATAATCTGAATTGGAATTTTATTATAACACAATTGTACTATATGGATTTTGGGACAAAATTTGGAAAGATGGTTGAGAAAATATATACTAAACAAACAGCTAGGGTAATTATAAATAAGGAAATGACAGAAAAAATTGATATAACCAAAGGAGTAAGACAAGGATGCCCACTTTCCCCTCTTCTATTTATTTTATCATTAGAAATACTCCTTACAAAAATCAGAGAGGACCAAGAAATAAAGGGTTTAAAAATTAAAAAGGAAGAATATAAGGTCCAGGCCTTCGCTTGGTATTTATTTTGGAAGATCCATTAGAAACCGGCTTTAAATTGATTAAAAAAAAATAGAAGAATTTGGTGAGGTAGCCGGACTTAAGATTAATAAGAATAAATCCAAATCCAAAATTTTTTACAAAGGCACAGGAAAGGGAACTGGAAGATAAAACAAAGATAAGTATAATCAAGAAAATAAAATATTTAGGGATCTGGCTTACAGCGAAATGTTCCTCGATTAAGGAGGACAATTATGATAAAATACTACACCAGATGAAAAAAGATTTAGAAAATTGGGAAAATTTGCAAATTTCATTTTTAGGGAGGACCACGACGGTCAAAATGAATGTATTGCCAAAAATATTATTTCTGTTCCAGGTTATTCCAATAAAATTAAGGAAAACATTCTTTCAAAAATTAAATAAATTGGTCACTAAATTTATATGGCAAAGGAAAAAACCCAGGATTAAATTAAAACTCTTGCAAGATATGAAAGATAAAGGGGGATTGGCGTTACCAGAGTGGGAAATATACTACCAAGCATTGAGCTTAACTTGGCTAAAAAATTGGATGGATTTGAAAAATACTAGAGTTTTAACAATAGAAGGACATGACTTGCAAACAGGGTGGCATGCATTCCTATGGGACGAAAAACATAAAATACACAGATACTTTCAAAGACACATAGTTAGGAATGCATTGCTACAGATTTGGGAAAAAATAAAACAAAAACATTATATAAGAATCCCAATGTGGTTATCCCCAACAGAAGCTCTGAAATACCCAAACCTATTGGATATAAATAAGATAATTAGATACAAGGAATTAGTAAATGAACAGGGAAATCTGAAAACAAAACAAGAATTGGAACAAGGTATTGGCAGAGAGATTGACTGGTGGACATTTACACAAATTCAATATAAATATACAGAGGACAAAAAATTATATGAAATCCAAAAAGAGCCACAAGAATAAAATTATACATGGAACAGAAATAAAATTAATTAGCAATTTATACAAATACCTATTGAGATATAAAATGGAAGATGAGATTGTCAAAGACACAATGATTAGATGGGCAAAAAATTTCGGATATAATATAGAATTAGAGAAATGGGAAAAAATATGGAAAATAAATATAAAATTGACTATGTCGGCAGCATTCAAGGAAAACCAGTTGAAGATGTTTTACAGATGGCATCTTCCACCAGCAAAACTTGCCAAGATGTTCCAGAACAATTCGCCAACATGCTGGAAATGTAAAAAAGTACATGGAACATATTATCATTTATGGTGGATATGCCCAGTTGCAAAAAATACTGGTCTACAATAAGAAAATGGATCGAAGAAATAATAGACCAACCCGTAGACTGGAAACCAGAGATCTTTTTGTTGGGTATTTTAAACAGAAAATATAGTAAAGAAATATGGTACTTAATTTTACATATAATAACGGCGGCAAGAATAGCATATGCACAGTGCTGGAAAAATGAGAATATACCATCAGAGGAAGAAATAATAAAAAAAATCCTGGACTGTGCTGAGAGGGACAAATTAACAAAAGAGATAAAAGAAAAGGAAGACACAGAGTATTGTATAACATGGAACAAGTGGTATGTCTGGTTGGAGACTAGAAATAATAGAGGAGAATAAATATGGAAAGGTCAAAAGTGAAAATATGTGTAATATAATGTATACTAATAATAATATGGATTATTCTTAGTAAGAAGTAGAACTTGAAGGAAGAAAAACATAAATAGGAAATAACGGGGCAATAAGGACAAATATTCTAAAGAAGAATAAGGGCAGAAATGTAAATAATAGATTACCGTTACATAATTGCTGTTAAAAAAAAGGGAGAGGAGTATATATTGTGTTTGTATGTGTGTTATGTTTTGCTTTGTTTTGTTTTGTTGGTTAAAAATAAAAATAAATAAATAAATAAAAATAAATAGTTAACGTGTAATATGAAGATAAGATGTTCTTATGAGTTGAGATAAATAAAATTTTGATGATTTGGTAAAGAAAGAAAGCTAGAATAAGACTGAAAAAGAATGGAGTTTTGATTTATATATGAGATTTATTTAAATAGACAAGATGTGTATTATGAGAACTTAAAATAGGTGTAAGGACCCACTTCAACCCCACATCTTAAGAAAGCAGAACTCTTGGAAACAATTTTTTCCAACAGGGACTTTTATTAAGAGTAGTTGATAGCAGGCATAATAGACAGGATCTGAGGGATTCTTTACAGATCGATACTTTAAAGGGTCCCTAAGTAGACCCCACCCCACAGTTCATCTGGATGGTTCAGACTGGCCAATCCCCAGATGTTAAGTCCATCATGGGAAAGGGAAGATAACATCGGTTCGGCTCTGTTTGTAGTATGATGTTCCACAGCTCTTTACACCTCCTTTTGAGATCGGAGAAATAAGCCAGGTTCCGGATGTTTGTATTTCTCCACCCACCCTTTTTCCTAACTGCCAGGTTAGGAAGAAGAAAGTTCAGAGAGATGCATAGTGCAGGAGGCAATTTGTTACATTATAACGGGAAGGAGACCCAGCAGCAATAAACCAAAGGTTACATTGTAGCGAATAGAGGAAGTGAAAGTCATAACCCCGCAGGCATATCCCCCCTCCCCCTTAGGAGTATGGCAGAATCCAGGGGAAGGTGAGAATTGGTTTTAGATCAGAGGAGATAGATAGAAATGAAATATAAATGGATTCTGACATCCTACCTCCCTTAAAAATAAGAGCGATCCACCTGTAGAGAAACAAAACAGGTATAGAAGTTAGTCTGGTTTGTTGGGATATTCTGTATGAAACTTCTTTAGCAGTTTCGGGGCTATGACATGATGTTTATGGACCCACTTGTTTTGTGAGGAGGGAAGGTGTTTCCATGCTACTAGGTATTGAGTTGCCCCATGAATTTTTGGACGTAATGGTGACTGTTATTCTCTTTTCAGCAAGCTGCAGTGAAAAATTGGGTGTATTTGTCTGAGGTTTTTGGGTAATTCTAATTCTACTGTTTGGGTAATTCTAATTCTACGGTTACTGTTCCAATTCTTTTAATTGGAAAAGGTCCTATATATTTGGGGCCAGGTTTTTACAGGGCTGTAGGGATTTTAGGTATTTTGTAGAAAAATATACCATTTCTCCTAGAATGAATGGTGTGGGTTCGACTCTCTTTTTATCTGCTTGTGCTTTGTATGCTTGCCTAGCTTTGTCTAAGGCTTTTCTAACTACTGGCCAGGTATTTTGTAATTGTGCTATCCATTCTTTCAGTGATGGGATTGCCGGTTTTTTGGGGATTAGTTGTGGCATAGGGTGGAAACTTTGACCGGTGGCTATTTGAAAAGGAGTGTAGCCTGTGCTGGAGTGGACTGCATTTTTGTAAGCGATTTCTACGAAAGGGAGTAGGTCTGTCCAATTCGTTTGCTGGAAATTAATAAAGCATCTTAAGTATTGCTCAAGTACTGAGTTAGAACATTTGGATTGTCCATTACATTGAGGATGATGACTAGATGACAGTCCCTGAGTGGTTCCTAAGAGAGATAAAAATTCCTTCCAAAATTCTGATGTAAATTGCACTCCCCTGTCAGATATGATGCGTTGGGGTGCCCCATGCAGTCTGTAGATGTGCTGCACGAATAATTTCGCTAAGGTTTTTGCGGTGGGAATCTTTTGGCAAAGGATAAAGTGTACTTGTTTGGAAAACAAGTCCATAACCACCTAGATCAGCGGTTCTCAACCTGTGGGTCGCAACACTTTTAAGGGTTGCACAAGCCTTTCACAGGGGTCGCCTAAGACCATCGGAAAACACATATTTCCAATGGTCTTAGGCAGGGCTTGTCAACTGCCTTCTTTCCCTCCCCCCCCTCTGCTCTACCTCACTTGTTTGTGGAAAATATGCTGCTTTGCGGCAGTCTGCATGAACTCTACCAAATGTGCCCTGCAGGGGGCGCATGAAGTGCACAGGCGCAGAGCAAGGCCCCGCCCTCCTCAGAGACTCATTGTGCAGCAACCAGATTG